CCCATCAGAATTATGGCTGACTTCTCTTCACAAACCATGAAGGCAAGAAGAGCATGGAGCAGAGTACTTCAAGTCCTCTATGAAAACAAATTCCATCCCAGACTACTATACCCTGCAAAACTTTTTCAAGTTTGATGGACAAGTGAAATACTACCATGACAAAGAACAACTAAAGAATTTCATGATGACAAAGCCAAGCCTACACATACTCCTGAAAGATGTTCTAGAGAGGCACCAAAGTGATCAGAACTCCACGAATGAGATCAGAAGCAACCAACTAAATACGGCAAGCAATTAAAAACAGTAGATAAAGGAGTAAACAACAACAGATAAAGATCAAAAGAATATATTTTGCTTGTGAAAGGGACAAAAATTTAGGATTCATTATGTTCTGAATGTTTGTATGTTTTAACATTTATATTTTAATCAAAGCCCCAAGGTAATCCTTTTTAAAGGTGGGGTATTTGCAAGTTGACTACATCAGGAACGCCCCATCTTCATAAACAATTTCAGTGCCCTTTTACAAAAGGCCTTAAAGCCCTTGTTTGCTTCTTCTGTGTGATAAGCATTCAGCCAGAGACATCATCTTCAAAGTAGAATTAAACTCTTACTAACCACTTATTCAGCTACTGTCTTGATCTTGGATGTTGAGAAATGTGAACAATATTTTTCTGTTGTTTTTAAACTATGCACTCTAAATTATTTTGTTGGAGTTACCCATGTATTTAATGTAAGTATATTAAAAATTTTCAAAGAAATAAAGAGCAAGAGTGATAATGTAAAACAAACAAACAAACAAACAAATAAGAAGCTTTAAGAACCAAATGAAAGATTTGAAACTACAAAGAAAATAACTAAAATAGAATTCTCTTTGACTGTATCATGAGAATAAACTAATTTGAGGAGAGTACTGATGATCTAAAAAAGTCAAGGCTAAAGAAAATATCTAAAATGAATCATAAGAAAACATCTAGAAAATACAAAGTCAACCAAATAAAAAAGTACAAATGTAGTAACATCCTAATATCAGATGTGAGAACACTATCCTACATTTGACAAAATGTAGGATATCAAAACAGAACATATAACTACAATTTAAGTTTAAATTATCATTTTTCTCATACTATTTTCAAGCAAAAAATCCAAGTGAAGCCATCTTCTAATTTTTAAGACTTCAGTTAAGTATTTTAAGACAGATATCTAAAATATTAAAAATAGTTAAATAATACAAATCAATATGTTTAATTACTTACATTCCATATGCTGAGCTGAGGGCAAGACTTGTAATCTGTTGAGGAGGTTCACCATCCACCCACACCAACTGAATAACAAGTTCTGCTTGATAACCTGGAGGCATTTTCACTGGTCGTGTCTTAACACTAGAAAAAAAGAGGAAAAAAGGTAATTTCTATCATGTGCATTCAATTATGTTCATGCTTTTGCTCTTATGATGGCCTACAATTGGCCCTCTTTACCTTATTTCTGTCCTTCGCTGAGAAATTACATGAAATTATCTTACAGAAATATATGACACTAGGCACTGATGCAGTGTGAGATGAAATGTCCTCTAGCTTCTCAAAATATACCAACCCACTTTTTAAACTAACTTTTTCAGAGAGAAAAGTCTATCATTTCAATTTTTATCACTCCCTTTTTTTCATTTGAAGGCAGTAGGTTAAATTATTTTTATTATGCTAATATTTTATGTTCAACA